GCTTGACGTCCTTTAGCGTTATAAATACTTTTTTCTGGTGAATAATGAGTGGGTGCGGGAGTGTTGAAGGGTTCGGGGTCTTTGATTTTTGCGCCAACAAAAGCAGATGGAGTCCAATCTTTACCGACTCGGGTCATGCCTTCCACATCATACTCTCCAGGGCCTGAATCACACCATTTGATTAGTATCTCAAAACCAATAATTTAGGAATCGCTCAAAATTACTTTCAGGAACTTAGTTTATATAAGAATATTCTTATGATATTTTGACATATAATAATTGTGTCTAAATTATTTGCGTGTATGAGTACATGACAGGCTGGGATACTAACCACTATACTATAATGATTATGTAATATCTGACTATACTATAAATTAATTAATTAGACTTAACACTAATTTAAGACATAAATTTCAAAAAGTCAATCGTAACATCAACTGCATTATTAACTCTCTTTTGTGCTTTATATCGATTTAATAAAATAAACTAATTGATAAATTTTCCTTAAAATTAAATTGATTCTATATCATTTTAATATATTAATCTTATAAGATTTTGTAGGAATAACTTATAAATATTATACAGAATATTCTAATAAATATAAGATATTTCACATATCCATTGATTAATAAATAAAAATAAGTTACAGTATTGAAAAACGTTAATTAAATATGTGATATATTCTCTAATAAATACGGAGTAAATAATTTAAGTAAACCAATGAATAAACATTGATAACTTGAAAGTTTGCATTTAAATATACGAATATTTTCAATATTGGACAAACCGGGAGTTTTAACATTTCTTTTCTCTTCATATTTGGATCCAAAACTATAGGCCGGAGAAGTGGACTTACGCTGATCTCCCCTATTCGGTCCTGAAATGCATTCATTTATTTATTATTCAATCATTTTTTACATATAACTGTAAATAGTAATTGTAAATCTCCAGAAAACTATTAAATGTTTTAATTTACTAAAATATATTTTGTTTAAAAAGTTTTCTTTATACTGTAAAGTCAATCAGAATACTTTCTAATAATTTGAAATATAAAAAGTTTTTATTCTCAAGTAGTCTTAGCTTGGCAAATAATCATTTTAAAGCATACTTGTATAATCAAAAATGTATCTTAATTTTTTATTACATTAAAAAAATTATAAGCTTGTATGAACTAGAAATTATTGTAAATATATAATTATTTAACGGTAAATTTAATATATTTGAAGCCTACAAGTAAATTGTGATAAAGTGTAACAAATTGTGTGAACTAATCCCTTCTGGAAAAGTGGTAAATGTAAATGTAAATGGAAATATCATTATTAACTTGTTTAAAAAGTCTTTGTTTAGTGAGTTTACTTGTTATCCGATATGAGAATAATTAATTAACACATAAATCAAATCGTATTCTCAATGGTTGCGAATGAGGTCTTTAAGCTTAACTCAAACCGGTTTCAAATCATTTCCAAATATTGTTATTTTGTATTTATTTAACTTTCCATAAAAGGAACGAAAAGTTTTTTATATGAATTTACTTTCAATTTTCTCAATAGATTATTGGAAAATGTTTTTGGCTTTGATATGATGTCAATGTTATACCACTTAACACAAAAACAATATTTCAAATAAAAGTCATTCACTGTTTTAATTAACTGTATATTCTTTGAGACTGTTTTCATATAAAAGTCTTAAAGCCTTACCAAAGGTTGAGGGCAGAGACACAATGGCCGGACCAGGACTCGAAAACTCGGCCCCAATCGGCCCTCTTCTCTGAAAAATATGAATCAATTAATTTGAGACCATTTCACTGAATGACAATAAAAATACTTTAGTTGGAGTCACAGATATTTGATTCAAATAGTCTCTCCTTTGCCCGGATACATTCCCATGTATACGACAAGTGCTTCCGTTCAAGTGCTATAATCACACACAAAAATAATAAGAAATTGTTCAAAACGGCTCATTATGTGATATTTTACTAAAATTAAAGATTATTGCGAAAATATAAAATGTCATCACTATGTCCTATAAAATAGGATACGATATTCTGTAGTTTTTATTGCAGATATACAGTATCACAAAATATAAAGTTCTTATAATTACTATTTTAGAAGTGCTTGTTTGGTTAACTCTCATAAATTTAATTAATTTAAACTAACAGTTAAGTTTATAAGAATTTACTTTCGTAATCAGTTAATCAGTGAACAAATTAAAACTATATTTAAACCCAGAATGACTTACTTTAGCAGGCATTTGTTTGAATAAAAGTGTGACACCAGCACCCGTATACGAAAAGCACAGAACTTACTCTCAATTTTCAATAAATTACTATAAATTTAAATGAAACTTATATTGAAAGCGAACTGATGTGCGAATGGAGGCCGAACTCGATTGGAAGGAACTGTATGTGACTTTTATGGAGACTTCGATCCGTTCAGGTTTGGAGGTGTCTATGAATCAGTAATTATCAAGTTTTGGGCGTTTTGTCTGAATTAAATCCTACGCAAACTTTTATATAATATGTGTTTTAGTGCTCAAAGATTTCTGTTTATTTGTTTCATTAGTTTTATAAAAGCAAATAAAACTTTTTTAAAATTGAATGCTTGATGCAATTAGGAACAGAATTTTATACAAAAGGGTTATTTCAATAAATTTCAAACTATTTTTAAAAAGCTTTTAAAAACTCCTGTTTACACAATTAATTTGTCATTTATTATAATTAACAATGAACATTGTAATTTTTCTTTCAATAGATTTACAAATGTTTCCAATTTTTATTGTAAACAAATTTACGAGAGAGAGAGAGAGAGAGAGAGAGAGAGAGAGCTGTTAGAAGGTGGGAAAATGAGGAAACAATTCAAATCTATAAGGGCTGTAGAGTACTGTACTGTATAACGGAATACAGTGAGTATAAGGGTTACAAAGATTCTGCAGTATATTCCTTAACAGTAACTCATAATCACTTGATTGCATAGAATTTATCAATTTTTAAATAAAAATACTTTTCTATATTTGTTTTCACAATAAATTTTCGCAATACTAAATTCCTCAGATAATTCAATCAGATTATTTTTAATGCACTAAATAATAAGGAATTTCTGTAAGAATTTACTTGCCTCAACCATATTCCCGTATTAATAATACGGTACTATAATCTACTGTAGTGGTTAATTATTCATGTTTCCTAGTCCTAATCATTGGTTAATATAAAATGTATGTTTGTTATCTTGCAAACTTCGAAACAATGTTTAAAACCTTAAAAATTCTAGTTGACTA